AGAAAATTGAAACAAAACCTGACAATACACGTGAAAATCCTCAGAATAATAACAGAAAAGACAAGACAAATAAAACAAAACAAAATAATACACAACAACAGACCAAGCAAGGAAATATATATGCTACACCCATGATGGCACAAATTGCAGCATACCAAGGACCTCACCAATACTTGGGCTTCCCACCAGTCAAACAAGAACGACCATGGACAAGCCAAGAAAGATCACAGACAGCAAACAACAATCAAATTAATGACAAAATAAATTACCGGAACCAACAGAGACAAAATTACAGCCAAGGTCAACAAACACCGACATCAAATGGAGTGGAAACAAGATGGAATCTGCCCTCACTGATACCATTCCAAAACAATCAAACAGACAATGATAATACAATGAATAATGATAATCAGACCGACAGACAAAACAGAGAACCATGCAAATGCTGCCAAGGTGATCATAACTACCGACAATGCCCAAAGAACCCTTGTTTCTTCTGTTACCAACCAGGTCATTATGCAGCATCCTGCCCAAAAAGAGAATCTTTATTCCCAAAAACAGGACCAAGAATAAGACAGACACATTGTCAAGTTTGTAAAAACATAGGCTCGCCTTTTGACTTTTGCAAATTTTGCCAACATATCCGTTCTGAGTTGTTGGGAAACGCGCTAGGTGGGGAGCAGACGAGCCCACTGCTTCCCCCCGATTCCCAATAATGGGCCAACATGACCACATAGGGGAAATAACCATGAAAATGGCCTCCCATATAGAAATTGATACGGACTCAGAAGAAAATACTCGCCCAATATGGGAAATATCATCAGATGACGATAGAGGGATAAACAACCAGACATCAGAGGAGGATGAAAACTGCACCGACAGACATACCACTCCAATAAATGGGCAAGAATTATCCTGGATTGATGAGGAACCACTCAATAAGTTACTAAAACGCCTCAAGGACCAAGAAACGTTACTATTTGACATGGATGGGGAAATACAAAACAGCGAACAGTCAGTGGAAAACCTAACATTTCCACCAGCTGAAAAAGTAATAATAATGAACGACATCGACCATCAGATTCCAACAATAACAGACCAAATAATAGAACTCCCAGACAAAATAGATACTGTTATACCTGAAGAAAAACCTGAAGGAACGCCTAAAAGAATTATAAAAACCGTGAAATTCCTAGACAAGGAAGAGATAATACAAACAAAAGACGAAGAACTGACAATACCCTTACAATCAGACCTACCAACAGCTAAGGAACCTGATAAAAGACAACAGGAAGTTTTGGATGAGACTAAAGACAAAAACAAATCAGCGATATTAACCGCACCCCCACAGTCTATAGGAGGGTTAAGCTCAGACAGTAGGTGTTTCATACCAATTATTATCGGTAATATAGCATATGACGCCTTAGTTGACTCAGGAGCAGTACTCTCACTGGTAGGACCGGAAATAACAGACAGGTTCAAAGAAAGACTAACGCCTAGTTCCACTACAATACAAGGAATCACGGGAAAAACCGAGAAAACCATTGGTGAACTCCCTCTACAGATTGATTTCGATGGACATACGCAGAAATTCAGATTTAAGGCAATGAAAAACCTACCTGGACCGCCAATTATCTTAGGTCTAGACTTTCTGACAGAGTGGAACATGCTCATACTTTTCCGAGAAAGGAAATGGAAAGTACATAATGGTAAATGGCATCACCTACAACCTAGACAACCGACACAACGAGAAGCTTTCTACGCAGAATGTGCTGGCCTAACAGAAATTACACCTGACCAAACTAAACGAATCCAAGAAATAACGGACCGTTTAATACCACCTATGACTGACAAACTAGGAAGAACACCGATAGTAAAGCACATAATAGATGTAGGTGATAGCCAACCAATAAGACAAGGTCTACGACGAATGTCACCCGCAATACAAAAAATAGTACGAACTGAAATACGAAAAATGTACGAAATGGGCATCATCCGACCGTCCAAAAGTGCATGGCGTAGCGCTCCAGTAATGATAAGAAAACCTGACGGTTCCTGGAGATTTTGCATTGACTTTCGTGACTTAAATAAGGTCACAAGGAAAGACGCATATCCACTGCCTAACATGGACTCAATACTAGACAAATTACGACACGCCAAATATATTAGCAAAATTGACCTTAAACAGGCCTACTTCCAAGTAGCCCTAGATGAAAACAGCTGTGAATATACAGCTTTTGCAAGCCCAGGTGAAGGATTGTGGGAGTTCATAGTTATGCCATTCGGACTCGTCAATGCCCCAGCGACCTTTCAACGATTAGCTGACGCATTGTTTGGACCTGACTGGGAACCTCAAGTATTTCCATACCTTGATGACATCATTATAGCAACTGAGACCTTCGATGAACATACGAAATATTTAGAATTAGTACTACGCCGAATTAATGAAGCTGGACTGCAGATAAATGCGAAAAAATGCGAATTCGGCTGTACTCGTTTAAATTACTTAGGCTTTCTGCTAGACCAAGAAGGATTACGACCTGACCCAGACCGGACTAAAACAGTACTAGGATTTCCAGTACCCAAAACGGTAAAACAACTACGTAGCTTCCTGGGAATGGTCGAATGGTACTCGAGATTCATAAAAAATTGTTCGGAAATAAAGGTACCGTTACAAAAACTTCTAAAGAAGCATCAAGTATTCAACTGGGAAACTGACCAACAAGAAGCATTCGACAAGCTGAAACGAGCATTAACAGAAGCTCCAGTATTAGCAAGACCAGATTTCGCCCGACCATTCACGGTTCAGACAGATGCAAGCGATTTTGCAATTGGTGCCGTATTGACTCAAAACTTCGACGATGGCGAACATCCAATAGCGTATATTAGCAGAACACTGACCGGACCGGAAAGAAATTACTCAGTAACAGAGAAAGAGTTATTATCAATAGTATATGCTATCAAGAAACTAAGACCGTACCTTGAAGGATATGACTATACAGTTATTACTGACCACTCAGCACTAATATACCTATTTAACATAAAAGAACCAAAAGGTAGATTAGGAAGATGGATATGCGACCTGATGCAAGAACGCGTGACCTTTAAACATCGTAAAGGCACGATGCATAAAGTACCTGATGCCCTGTCACGAATGGACGAAGAGGCTAACAAAATCGCAGCCTTCAGCACAGTACAAGACAACTGGTACCTGAAAAAACGCAGAGACGTAAAAGAAAAACCAGACAAATACCCTGACTGGAAAATCGAAGATGACATGCTATACTACAACAGACCAGACCCGATTATGGACCCGTTAACAAATGGAGAAACGGTATGGAAACTGGTAGTACCTGACGAATATCAAATGGAGATCATGAAAAACGCACACTGCCTTTCGGTAGCGGGACATTTGGGCATAGAGAAAACGTACACGAGAATTAGTACCGAATATTACTGGCGAGGAATGTACACTGACACTTATAACTTCGTCACAAGATGTCCACTATGTCAAAAATATAAATCCAGCCAACTAGGCCAGCAAGGCCTTATGAAACCACGGAAAATAGACCGACCATGGGCAATAGTAGCAATTGACACGATGGAATTCCCCCGAAGCAAAACGCAAAATAAATACTTCTTAGTTTTCCAAGACCTCTTCACACGATGGGTAGAAATGAAACCAGTACGCTCTGCAGACGGGAAAAACGTTGCGAAAGCATTAGAAGAACTCGTCATATTCAGATGGGAAACACCTGACTACATACTGACTGACAATGGGAAAGAATATGTCAATAAACATTTAGACGGCATGTTACAGGAATACAACACGACAGTCCCATATCATCCACAAGCTAACCCCGTCGAAAGAAGTAATAGAACGATAAAAACGATGATAGCAATGTTCGTTGAAAATGACCACAGGAATTGGGATAAACATATTAATGAGTTCCGACACGCCATGAACACGGCAATACAATCAGCTACTCAAACATCCCCAGCATTCCTGAATTACGGCAGACAACCGAAACTAATAAAAAGTTTACGGAGAAAAGTAGAATCAAACGAACTAGAACTGACACCAGAACCAGAGGAATGGACAGAAAGGCTTAAAAGATTAAAAGACCTATATGAACTAGTTGAAAGGAACCTAGAAATAAAGCATGAGAAAATGGCTGACCGATTCAATACTAGAAGGAAGTTGACCGAATATAAAACCGGAGACCTAGTATTGATCAAAACACATCACCTATCAAATGCAGCAAATAAGTTTTCGACCAAATTAAGCGAAAAATATGAAGGACCTTTCAAATTGCTAGATAAACTTTCAGACACAGTATTTACCATCGAGACATTGACAAAGAAAAAAGTTGGTAAAGTTCATATTGAACAACTGAAACCTTTTAAGAACTCTGACAAGAATAATTATGACCTTAAATAAAACTAAAATGAAGAGAACATAGATAATCTGACCGATCTGACCTTACCCTGTATTGTCCGACTTATAGGGTTAACTCGCGTACTAACACGGTTGTGGCGTGGGGATTGATTCCGCGGCAATTGGTGTTTGACCTCTAGATGTGCTGTCCCACGCCTGGACAGGCTAGCCTCTCCAGGCTTAGTGGGGGGTGTAGTCGTCGACTAAGCTACGCCCCTCAGCAGATAAGTGCATGCACTGTACTGTCCCGATACTGCCCTACAGACCATTGCACTAACCTATTTAATTTTCAGATCTACCATGGCCCCAAGGATCCTCATAGCGAAGAAGAAGGGCCTGAGTCTTACAGTGAAGATCCCGCTGTCCGCCGTCCCCAGGACCATCACGGGGACCAGGAAGCGGGAAGCCACACCGGCTCAGGCCCCAGAAACTGACCGCAATGAGGAGAGCCTTCGCCTGCGGGCACTTGCCACCATGCCTGGGTACCAGGACAGGGTAGGGGCTCAGCCCATCGTCGAGCCCCCCCCCGACAGAAGATCCGTCGGCCTGGTATATCCAGGACATGGTGGAGGAAATCGAGCAGGAGAAGGCTCGCCTGGAGGCCATGGAGGTGGCGGACCAGGAGCAACTGGAGGAGCCACCACGACCACTCCCGGAGGGCCAAGCGAATGGAGATGGTCCGCGCCATCCGGGAGGAAGTGGAAGCAGACCAGACGGACGGCAGGGCAGCTGAGATTCCGTCCGAACATGGGACCTTAAAATCCCATTGTTCGGACACCTCAAAAGGGTCCCAGCTGTCCCTGGACGGGCAAGCGGAGAAAGAGTTGGAGGACTACCTGGGCAGGGGCACAGAGTCAATACTAGCTGGAAAGGGCGAGACCATCAACCCCCAACCAGCTAGAACATCAACTCCGCCCCCTACACTCCGACGCCCAGGTACAATAAGATCACCGACCTCCACCATCTCCGCTACCATCGCCCAGCCGTCCGTCAGATCCACCACCGCAGCTGACCGACCATCCACCTCCAGAACCACCGACCAGTCATCAACCCCCGTAGCCGACCGACCACACATCAGCCATCGACCATCCACCACCACCGCCGCCGACAGATCCACCAGAACCACAGCCGACCGACCATCCACCACAGCCGACCGACCATCAACCTCCACCACCATCCAGCCGTCGGCCTCAAGGAGTCGAGGCCACCCAGGCTGGTTGCCTGTGACCTCGACCCCAATTGACCGAACCACCACCACCCGGCCAATAGCGACATCCAGGATGGATCCTGTCGACCGTCCAGAGGTCCAGGGCCTGCACTACCGGACGGCCAGCGGCAAGCGCCGCAAATACAATCCGCGGCGCCACCTGCAGCTGGACGATCTGGTGGGTGCAGGAGATCTATCCTCCGAAGAATCGGAGGATGACCTACCTGGACCCCCGACCAGCCGCGCAGCAACACGACCAGCTGCTGCGGCCAAGACACCATCCTGGGGTCGACTCCCTCGCCGGACCGGAGCTGGGTTCGGGCAGTTGAGGGAGATCCCAACCGACCCGACAGTTGATCCCCCCTCCGAGCATGCTTTAATTGCTGGCAAACTGACCACAATTTCGGGAATTGTCCCCGTTCCAAAGAGGGGACGTTCTGCGGAAATTGTGGCCGGCGGGGGGTCGAGGTTTTCGACTGCTCGAGGTGTGCCGAGGCATACCACCGCCGACACGGCTCCTCGGGCTCGAACAACCCGGTGGGGAACGACATCCCTCCACCGAGACCTCGACCGACCACCAGCCGACGGAGTGGGTGGGACGAAGTGGACAGACCAGCGTCCACTTCTTCCGGGTCCGGTTGGGACCGGAACCCAATATATGAGCCCCGCCACCAAGATCAGGCAGCCCAGCTGAGCTCGGATCCTCGGGAGACGGAGGACCCCCCACCGTCATACCAGGAGGCAACCCGAGGCCGAGCTCCATACCGGGGAAGACCAGCGAGGGAGAGGCCGACGGCTGACACCGGAGCGATACCCCGCGCCGGACCCTCCGCTTCTTCCGCCAGGCCATCGGCGGAGGAGAGAGCGAGGGAACTGCTCCGGAGATCACGTCACCGCGGGACCTCCGACGAGGAGGACGACCGGGACCTACGCCTGAGGGAGCTCCAACAGCTCCAGCGCGCCCTCCAAGAGATGGAGGAGATGGAGAGGCGCGATCGCTCCCGCAGGCGTGGGTACCATTAACCGCCAGCGGACCACCACATGTACTGACCAGAATAAATGCCAGGGCCAAGCCCTGGCTTAAACTGACCAACCTGCGTCTTGATTTCCAAACCCTCCTGACCCATCCTTGCTGACCCAGCCAATGGACTTTATGGACCAAGGGAAGAGAGGATGCAGCCAAGCAGACCCAGCACGCACCGGACTCCGACCAGAGCAGACCACGGACCAAGGGGGACAACCCCACCAGGTAAGATGTTGGTATATCTGACGATAACTGAGAACGAGACGGCAAGAAAAGGGAATAAAACAAACTGGCGGTACACGTGGTAGTGTACCGGCTTAGTGGGGGGTTCTGTAATGTGGCACATTACAAGGCCTTCCCTGAGTGCTGCATTGTTTGCAACACCTCAGAAAGGCCATCCCAGTCCCTTGCCGCCCCGTAACCGGTTGTGTAAATTAAAGTTAAACAAGCCCTACCCCAGACAATTTTTATTTTCCATGTCCGAACGACCACGCCGGAAATATCGATGAAGCAAACTGTCTAACGCGATCCGACGGACGCTCGAAAAGCAGACACAAAAAAAAAAGGAGCGCACCACAGGAAAAAAGAGAGCGCACGCACACACTCACTCACAGACACTCCCGACCACGTGTTGCCGGCCGGCAAAAGAAAAACGCAAAACCTGACTGGGAAATGCAACGGAAATGCATGTTGATGACACATGCAGATCCGTTACACTCCCAGACACCGACACGAACACTCACGAGGCACTGACACTCCTGGGGCGAGCAGAAAATCGCCGATGAAGTGGCAGCCGGCAATCAGCTGTGTCGGGCTGCCGAACACCATCGGCGACATCCTGAGCGCCACACATACACGAAAATCAGCGACCACACACTAACACCCGGAAAAACACCACAGAACCGACACGGGAGCGCCCCAGGAGGCGCTCCAACAACCGGCACGAGGACACGAGGCGTACGCGCGAGAAACTGAGCGGCCATCTTGAAGCGCCGATATAGACTGAGAGCGAGCGAGCGAGACAGACTGAGACAGAGCGAGCGAGACAGAGCGATCGAAGCAAACTAAACAAGAGCGAGCGAGACAGACTGAGACAGAGCGAGCGAGACAGAGCGAGCGAAATAGACAAAACAAGAGTGAGCGAGACAGACAATATAAAATAATAGAATGATATGTAAATGCGAAGATGAGGGCGCTATAAATGAAACGGCGTATATTATATACGTATTTCTTAGATTAAAATTAAAAATTGAAAAAGAATGAACACGAAATAAATATTAAATTGTAAAATTCGCACACGACCGACACCCCTATTATGATAGCGAGCGACAACTACCCCCTTTAGATTTAATAATAATTTAACTGACCGAATTCGAACATCTGACAAAATTCGCTAGTGACGTCACGACCAATAGGCAAATTAGAATAAAATTTGATTTCCGTCCGCATAGACGAATAGATAAGAGTAGGGGTAGATCTTTTCCGACAATTAATGATAGATACCTTAGTGGGGGGTGAGAGAGAGTAAATAACGACGAAAGTAGGAGAGTTAAGGAGGGCGCTGTATTATTCTAATTTACATACGGACCAATGATAAAAATCCGGAGGGCGCTACCGATATCCGAATTAGCATACCGACCAATAATAATATTTCTTCTCGGAAAGAGGAGAAGAGAAACGATCTTTGACCGCGAGAAGCCGATTCTCGTCCATTTTGCCATCGGACATCTGGAGATAAGGAGCTCTGTTAGCTAATTTTCGCCGTCGAACTTCTAGCGCTAGACGCCTCCTAAATTCTCTTTTGCCAATTTTGGTTTGCCAGTATTACAAGGAGAAAATTGTAAGTAGGCAAAGTGCCACTCATATTAATTAATCGCGGAGTGCGGGTTGAGTTGTTTAATTTGTTTGGTTCGGTGCGGTGGGTCGTCGCGACGCGTGGATCCGTCGACGTCGGTGCCTATAGAATCGTGCTGACCTGTCCGCCATTCCGCGAATTTAAATTGAGTGTTCGGTTTACGAAAGAGATTCGCGATTTAGGATTCGCGCTGACCTTCGTTTACCAGTTATTGAGTGTAAAGTTTACAAGAAATTTGCGACTTATTACTCGCGCTGACCTTTCGTCGACTTTTATTAATTATTAGATTTTACGGAAGAAAGTTGCGACTTATTATTCGCGCTGACTTTTCGTCAATTTCTGTTAAGTGTTAGAGTTTTCGAAAGAAAATTGCGACTTAGTATTCGCGCCGACCATTCGTCAACTTTTATCAAGTGTTTGTCTTACAAAGGAAAATTGCAATTTAGTATTCGCGCTGACCTTTCGTTAGTCATTTAGTACAAACGTAGGTTCGATTGAATTAAATTGTTTTGACTAATTATTCGCGCTGACCTTTCCGCCATTTTGCAAACCGAATTTGAATGTTACGTCTTACAAAAGAAAATTGCAAGTTAGTATTCGCGCAGACCCTTCGTTAGTTACTAGGTACAAACGTAGGTTCCGTTGAAGTAAATTGTTTTGATTATTTAGTTGTGCTGACCTTTCCGCCATTTCGCAAGCCGAATTTGAGCGTAGGTTTTATAAAAGAAAATTGCGATTTGTTACTCGCGCTGACCTTTCCGCCATTTTAGGAACCGTTTAAATTGTATCTCAGGGATTACTGAAAATTTAGGATTTGACCGACCACATTTATTCCGACCTCGTATGTGAGAAACTTTAATGCATCAATAAAACTATTAATTGTCTGTATATACATATATATCTTATTCGATAACCTGCCCCTGTTGCATGTTAGTGATTTTCAGCCACGGTCGGTTACATACGGGTTTATTAATTCGCTATATTTTCGGATTATTCGTTAGGTAAAATACGCGCGATTTCGAACGTCCTCACGACCTGACCTAAGGAGTCGTCATCTGAGCTGCCGGCATACACTAATCAAGGAGAAATTAATTAACAATATACACGCTAAAGGAAATTCGCTGTCTTTACTCCCCCATTTGTTATTAGCCACTCCTTTTTCAGTTTTTTTGTATACCATTGTTGAATGTCATATAAAGATCTTGTCTACAAAGTTTAAGCGCGCGTAACGATAGGCAACTACCCCTAAGTAAAATTAACCATATACACGATAATGGAAATTCCCTGCATTTTTGCCTCCATTTGTTATTAGCCACTCCTTTTTTTAGTTTTTTTGTATATTATTGTTGAATGTCATATAAAGACCTTCTGTACAATGTTTGAGCACGCGGACCGATAGGCAACTACATCTAAGTTTAATTAGCAATATACACGCTAAAGGAAATTCGCTGTCTTTACTCCCTTGTTTGTTATTAACCACTCCTTTTTTTAGTTTTTTTGTATATTATTGTTGAATGTCATATAAAGATCTTGTCTACAAAGATTGAGCGCGCGGAACGATAGGCAACTACCCATAAGTAAAATTAACAATATACACGATCAACGAAATTCGCTATATTTATGGCCCCATTTGTTATTATCTACACTTTTTTCAGTTTTTTCATATATTTTTGTTGAACGTCATATAAAGATCTTGTGTACAAAGTTTGCGCGCGGATCGATAGGCAACTACCCCTAAGTTTAATTAGCAATATACACGCTAAAGGAAATTCGCTGTCTGTACTCCCCTGTTTGTTATTAAAAACTCATTTTTTTAGTTTTTTTGTATATTATTGTTGAATGTCATATAAAGATCTTGTCTACAAAGTTTGAGCGCGCGTAACGATAGACAACTACACCTAAGTAAAATTAACAATATACACGATCAAGGAAATTCGCTGTCTTTACTCCCCTAATTGTTATTAGCCACTCCTTTGATTAGCTTTTTCGTATATTGATGTTGAGCGGCATGTAAAAAAGAGGTGTACATAGTTTGAGACCGCGGAAGGATAGGCAACTATCCCTAAGTAAAATTAACAATATACACGATAATGAAAATTCGCTATATTTACGCCCCCATTTGTTATTTGACACTCTTTTTTTATAGTTTTTTTATATATTATTGTTGAATGTCATATAAAGATCTTGTCTACAATGTTTGAGACCGCGGAACGATAGGCAACTAACCCTAAGTAAAATTAACAATATACACGCTAAAGGAAATTCGCTGTCTTTACTCCCCTAATTGTTATTAGCCACT